TAAGTTTAAGAAAGTTGGCTCTGAAAAGAAATTTCAATCGTTGTACTGTTGATATTTGGCTCTGTAGACTAATGAGTTTGCCGACCACTGCTTTAGACTATATTGTGCTTTGTTGGAGGATTTTCTTTCTTTCTTTTTTTTTTTAATTTATTTATTTATTTATTTAATTTGATTTTTTTTTTGCCCCCCTCCCTCCCTCCCATACATACTCTCTCTCCTCAGAGTTTTGTGCCCATTGGTTGTACTTATATGCATGTATACAAGTCCTTCGGTTGATCTATTATCTCCCCCAGATCTCCCTCCCCTCCCCACTGTAATTTGACAGTCTGCTTGTTGCTTTACTGTCTCTATATCTATTTTTTGGTTCATCAGTTTATAATGTTCTTTATTATCTATAAATGAGTGAGGTCATGTGGTGTTTCTCTTTCATTGATTGGCTTATTCACTAAGCATGATGCTCTCCAATTCCATCCAGGTTGCTGCAAATGATGAGAATTCCTTCTTTTTATGGCAGCATAGTATTCCATTGTGTAAATGTACCATAGTTTTTTGATCCAATCATCTGCTGACGGGCACCTAGGTTGTTTCCAAATTCTGGCTATTGTAGATTGTGCTGCTATGAACATAGGGGTGCATATAGCCTTTCTATTGGTGTTTCTAGTTTCTTGGGATATATTCCTAGGAGTGGGATTACTGGGTCAAATGGGAGTTCCATTTTCACTTTTTTGAGGAAACTCCATACTGTTCTCCACAGTGGTTGCACCAGTCTGCATTCCCACCAGCAGTGCACGAGGGTTCCTTTTTCTCCACAACCTCGCCAACACTTGTCGTTTGTTGATTTGTTGATGTTGGCCATTCTGACAGGTGTGAGATGGTACCGCATTGTTGTTTTGATTTGCATCTCTCGGATAATTAGTGACTTTGAGCATGTTTTCATGTGCCTTTTGGCCTTCCTTCTGTCTTCTTTTGAAAATATTCTATTTAGGCCCATTGCCCATTTCTTAATTGGATCATTCATCTTCTTTTTATTTAGTTGTATCAGCTGTCTGTAGATGTTGGAGATTAAACCTTTATCAGTGGTATTATTTGCAAATATGTTCTCCCACACCGTGGGCTTTCTTGTTGTTTTGTTGATGGTTTCTTTTGCTGTAAAAAAGCTTTTTATTTTTGGAGGATTTTCTTTCTACAAAACAAGGAGTTTTTACACAAGAATATTATGATTCATATACATCATTGTTAATTCAGACTGCTTTAACAAAATACTATAAAGTGGGAGATTAATACATGACAGAAATTTATTTCTCACAGTTCTGAAAGCTAGAAGTCTCTATGGCCCAGAGACTGGCTGTGCCCTTAGATGAGGGAAGAGGCTAAGTTGTTCTGTGGGGTCTCCTATTAGAGCACTAATGCCATTCATGAGGGCTGCACCTTGGTGACCTTCCAAAGGCCCCACCTTCTAAGACCATCAACATAGGAATTTGAAATATTATATTACCAACATTCAGACCAGAGCAATCACCACCCTGCAAAATGTTATTTCTTGGTTGATTTCTAAAAGCTATCAGAAGCTGCTACACAGACTGTAAACACTTTTTTAGTTATCTAGAAAAGAAAATACCTTTTGGCATGGGGGGTGCGGGGGGTGGGGGGAGGATGGGAGAATTCATCCCCTTTGTTCAATCTGGGAAAGCTTTGTAATTAAAATATACTTGAATGTTGCCATAGAAACTGTAAACTGAGGAAAGGCAGGCTTTGTTGGAGGATTTTCCATAGAGTAAGTCTGCAGAGTAGGTTCAATATAAAAATAGAAAGAAGAAAGGAGGTTTAAATTAAATATCTGGGTTGATTTTTTTATTCCTCTGCCAATAATCTTAATTAGTGCACTGCTCTTTTTATCAGTAAAAATTTTTCTGGCATCAAATTATCTTATTTCTATTAAGATAAATAGGCACTTTTACAAAGTCATCTGAAACCAACTAATTAGAAACAGATGTTTGACTATTATTGTATTGTAATTAAACTAGCTATTCAATCCTAGAATGGCCTTTTATAATTGTCTTAAAATCTATTGAGAATATATTTCTGAAGCTTTGGGTAAATATTTGTGTGCGCATATGTTGAGTTTTAAACAATCACAGAGACTTGAATTAACCTAAACTCCTCTGTTTACTCTTAATTTTGTTTACTACATGTTTTCTTACATGTACTCAAGAATTCCTGCATTCACATAGTCAGGGGTTGATAAAAATCTAAGCAAATAGATCATAATAATTTTACTGAATATAGTAATAGCTCACAATAATTTTACTGATTACTTTCATGTTAGTTTATACATGTTTACTTATAATAAATATATTCACACTCATTTTTCCTCATTGACTTATATCTTAAGTAGGCGGTTCTCTCATTAATTTCAAAAGGAAAGTATTAGACCAGAAGGTGTTAGCAGTACCCATCTACTTAAGGGAATAGTCAGTAACAAAGAAAATCTCCAAAATAGACTTAGTGAAAAGAAAAAGTATAAAACTGTGTGTAGAGTAGGCTATCTTTGCTGCAATCAATGTATTGGAAATTAGACAAGCTGTTTCTAAAATGTACGTGGAAGTGTAAATGGTCAGGAATAGCCCAAGCAATCTTGAAAATAAAGAACAAAGCTAAAAGGATACATGAATCATGACCTATTGCATAAAAAAATGATTAAGAGTATAGCGCTAGTACAAAGTTAGACAAGCAAAAAATAGACACACACATACACCACATGATTCATGACAAAAGTGATACTACAGTGCAGTGAGGAAAGAATGGTCATTTAGCAAAGGATGCTGGTTCAACTGAATACCCATACTGGAAAAAATAAACTTCCCACCCACTATATTGAAAAAAATAAATGTAAAAGGTAAAACAATAAAGTTTCTGGAAGAAAACATAAGAGAATACTCTTCTGTACTAGGATAAGCAAATATTTCTTTAAAAGACAGTTGTAAAGGGAAACATATACCGTGTTTCCCCGAAAATAAGACATCCTCCGAAAATAAGACCTACTTACAGGTTTCCTTCTGAGTGAAATATAAGGCATCCCCCCGAAAATAAGGCCCCCACTAGGCTCTGTCTCAGAATGCTATTGCTAAACATGAGAGATTTGGTCCACTGATTCTGAAAGAAATGGAGTCACAAGAAATTCACCAGGAAATTCAGGAATTGGATTGTTATGATGATGTTCCATTGTTATGATGATGAATAAATGAGTACATAAATTCTTGATACTGTAGGATTCACAGTTTGTCTGGTTTGTGTTGACAACTACCGTATTACCGTACCGTATACAGGTAATAAATTTCCTTTATTTTCATTTAACAATAAATGTGTACCGTATTCTTCATGGAAAAAATAAGACATCCCCTGAAAATAAGACCTAGCACATCTTTGGGAGCAAAAATTAATATAAGACACTGTCTTATTTTCGGGGAAACAGGGTAGATAAGCTGAGCTTTATTAGAATTAAAAGATTCTGTTCCTCAAGACACCAATAAGGGCGTGAAAGACAAGCCACAGAATGGAGAAGATATATGCAAAAAATATATCTAAGAAAGAACTTGAATGCCAAAAATATAAAGAATTAATAAATAAATAAACAATAAGAAGCCAACAGTACAATAAAAGATGGGTAAAGAATTGAATAGACATTTCACAAAACAAGCTAAACAAATAGCCAGTAAGATTTGAAAATGTACTCTATTTATCATTCTTCAAGGTAATGCAAAGTCCCCATGCTATACCACTACATGGGTACTTGCATTGCTATAATTAAAAAGAGATTAAATAACAAATGGCCCTAGCTGATTTGGTTCAGTGGCTAGAGCCTCGGCCTGCTGACTGAGGATTCCAGGTTTAATTCTGATCAAGGGCACATGCCCAGGTTGCAGGCTTAATCTCCAATAGGGCACTAGTAATATTTCTTTGTCTACTTCTATGTGTGTTGTCATTTTGTAAAATGTACTTATGATTTGCACACTCTTCTGCATTTTTTAAAAAAATGTCAATTTAAAAGTTTGCAAAAAAAGACATATGAGCCAATTTGAAGGTTCCTTCATTGATGGATCAATATGGACATCAGAAAGGATAAGGTTGGCAATGTATAAAATAGATCAAATATATTAAAATCCAAGACTTCATAGTAAAACTAGAAAACGTCATTAGTATTCTTTGGAGATGGCAAATGCACCAACTCAATATTCTAAAAGCTGATAAAATAAAGAGAAATAATCAAGTATAACTTGCCTTTACGATGTGAAATTATATTGTAAGGTAATCAACTATGAGATGTACTTTATTTTTAGTTGAAGATTCCAGAAAATAAATGCAAAAGAATAATAGAATTCAAAAATCACCATGTCATTACCCATAATGAAATAATGATGTGTCTGCTGATGCAATAAAAAGCTCACAGCATTACCTCTGGCTCTAAATGACAGTTATAGGAAATATGATAAAAGAACATTGTAAATGAATCCCAGGGATGAAATCAGCCATGTTCAGAATGTAGAAAATTTAAAGGGCAAATGACCCGATTTCTTCCAAAAAATAAATATCCTAAGAGAAAAAGTAAGGGGGTGAGAAGATAACTATCATAGATTGAAATTTAAGGGAGATTATGATTAAATTAATTTGTGAACTTATTTGAATCTTGATTCAAGTAAGCAAACTATTAAAAGACATTTTTGGATACTCAAAAAAATTTTAATGGAATACATATTAGATATTAATTAATTGTTAATTTGTTATAGCTATTTTTTTTAATCCTTACTTGTTAGAGATATTATTGAACTACTTATGGATGTAATAATATAATGTCTGGTGTTTGATTCGAAATTCTCCGGCAAAGGGAAAGAAGTAGTGATTTATGAAACAGTATTGGCCATTGATAATCCTTGATACGCTGTAATGTATTCATAGTGGTTCACTTTTTGAGTCTGTTTAAAATTTCACACACAAAGACTTACCCCATCTCTTGCTTTCACCAAGAGATCATAGGTGGCTGGGTCCCTTTCCCTGTCAATATCTTGAGAAACACAGATCTGCCCATCATGTGAGTCAATCTGGAAGGCTCGGGGTGCTTCGTAACTTTGGAATCCGTCAAAAAGAGAATATTCAACCAAGCCATAGAGTCCTGAATCCGCATCAGATGCTTTTACCTATGAGACAGGAGTAGGCTGGTGAGGAAATAGAAATTTGAGCATCACTTTTCAGTTGGTCATGAATTACTATCATAATTTGCACAACCGAGTAACCCCCATAGCTATTCACGGAGTGTAGGCTCTAGTTTTATGTTGTCTCCTCTTACCTTCTGTGACAACTCTCCCCACTCTCCTCCTCCATTTGTGATGGCTCCTTTACAGTATCTTCTGCTCCTTCCTATACTTTCATGGGATCTCTGAAAGTTTGAATTCCTTGGGGCTCAGTCCTTGGTCTTTTTGCCTCCTTATTCCTCTCACTACATCTAACTGATCTTACCCAATCTCGAGATTTTTTAAAACATCTATATGCTAATTACTTGATTTGGGGGTTATTGTGCAGTCTAGCCAAGTGGTTCTCAATCAGGGGCAAATCTGCCTCATGAGGACATTTGGCAATGTCTGGAGACATTTTTGATTGTCACATCTGGAGAGAGGATGTTGTTGGCATCCAGTGGTTGAAGTTAGACATGTTGCTAAACATCTTACAATACACAGGACAGACCCACAGCAAACAATTATCTGGCCCAAATATAAATAATTCCTAGATTGAAAACCCCTGCACCTGATGAAACTCTTAACAATTGGCAATATTACTTTTTTCTTTAATTATCTTTATTTTTTTTCAACTAATGACACAGTCTTTTAAATTTATCTTCACTCTCATCTATCATATTCTCTGGCAAAATTTCATCCTGTGCAACTAGCTAACATGTTTGTGAGTTATTCTTCTCATCAGATGGGCTGAACTAGGAAACCCACAAACTTCCCCACTACAAAGGACTAAATTCCAAGTACATTTGGTCTGTTCCATTCTGGCAGCTGTTAATGATTTAGTAGCCTCCAGTTCCCAAAGACACCAAATATATCTTTTAAAACCATATGGTATTCTCAATAACTTTGGCTTGACTGGAAGATAATAAGTACAATGAACTTTCAAATTCTAAAACTCATTCTCAGCCTTTAATAGCACATATTAACAAGTAATTTAGCTCACATAAAACGAGTTTCCTTATTTCCACTTTTTTCTCATCTGGACTTTTGGCAAAACAAAATATAAGGAGTCAAAAGTGGGACAAAAGTACTGATGTCAATTTATGTTAGTAATTCAGATTCTGAGTTTCTGGATCATAAAATAAGAATGTATTCCTCCCTGTTTTGGTTAACCTATTATCATAATTTTATGGTGCTAAAAGAGGTACCTAGAGCTCCAGAGGTTTTACCCCTGAATCTACTCAAAGAACCATGTTCAAACACTCTCAGTGCCATCCCATGTTCCTTATTTCAATCTCAGTCTACCTTGATGATTTAATTTTAAAATTATTCTGACTCAAAAGTGTTCTCCCTTAGCCTGATCTTCAACAAATTTAATGGAGATGTTATAAAAATGCAAAATATCTCTCTGATTCCATCATTAGCTTCCTATATTTAAAAAAATATAATTTCCTTAAGTATTAAATAAAAGATATTCCTTTTACATCTGGGTAAGGATTCCTCCATATGAATGTGCTATGGATTCAGAAGACAGATTGAGAACACTGGCTCCTGAAAACATGTTTGCATGTTCCACCAGCAGAATAATTATATTTGCATTTCCCTCACCAGAATATCCCTATCCCTATTTAGGAAGGTCTTCTCTGCAACAACTGGGCAGCTCTGCTGACTCCTTAGTACCCAACCCCAAAAGCCAATCCAAAGTCATAGGGTGATATAGTATCAATCACATCATTTAATTCAGTGATGTTTATAGAAAAGCCTCAGAGTTCCCCCGCCACCCCCCTCCCAAAAAAAAAAAAAAAAGTCCTAAGAAAAGTGGCTGCACATTAGATTAAATTTCAAATTAAGTAACTTCACTTTAATTTTTTTCTTATTTAATTTCCAAAATTATATGCTATATCCATGAGCATAAACAGTTTGTTTGAAGAAACAGTTATTGGCACAACACACCCACACATAGAACTTCAAACAGAAGAAAGAAAAAAAGAAAAAGAAATCACGAAATAACTTTTACATTTGAAACACTTGGCCAAGCACTGCTCTTACAGTTAAAACAGAATTAAAATATCCCAGTGAAAAGTTGGATTCAGCATTGGGACCACGACGAATGGTCCCCATATGCAAGTATGCCACTCTCTGAAACAATTTTGGCAACTTCACTAACGACCTATTTCTTACCAAGACTAGTCATCAAGGCTGAGTTCTTATTTTTGATACAATTCAGCAGCTCCTAACACAGTTAATTATCTCTCTCTTATTGAAAAACTTACTCATCAGACGTAACACTCTAACTTTCTTTTCCAATACCTAAATTTCCTTTCCTGGCTGAGCTCTCTTCCGGGCCTCTGAACACAAAGCCTCCTGAGCTCAGTCTTTGGACCACTTCTCTTTTCAGTCCACACACATTGCCTGTGGTGGGCATTGCCCACTGTGGACAACTCTAACAAATCAACTTGCATCTTATCTTCACCATCAGAGCATTCCTTTTGTAGCTCAGGAGAGCACCCCTCATCCTTGCCTGCTTGCAATATCCTATAAGCTTTGTGTTCTTGCTGCATTGTGTGTGTTTCATGTTTTCCTATCCTCTTCCAAGTCTTGCAGAATTGTAGAGTCAAATTAATGATTCAGAAATGAAAACTAAACAATAATAACAAAAGAACAATATATTTCATAACAATATATTTCATAATATTCATTGAAAAATAACTTTTATTCCTGAAACATAATCCTATTAACCAAGCTATACTATCATAAGATAAAATACAAAATTCTAAAAGCAGCAAAAGAAAAAAAATTATATGAAGGCATATGAAACTATTCAGTGGTTGGAAACAGAACTGTTTCATTTTTACCTTTTAAAATGTATTTTCAGAGAAACTGATAGAGCTGTTAAATGAATAAGCTAATTATATATTCTCAAATTATGGTAAAAAGTCCCTGTTCTGTTAACATGTTTGTATAGCCTTAATTAAAGAATGGGATTAAGAAACAACTAATCCTATTTCTCCCCCCTCCCCACAAAAAGCAACCAAAGGAAATTTTGTGAAAGGGGACCACTGGGTGGGAGTAAGGGGTAACTTGTCCTGTATAGTCTTACAAAGTAAACAATTAAAAGAGTCTGATCTAAAAATAGAATTGGCAGACAGATCAGTAGAACACGAAAACAAGACCTGAAACAGATGCTGGTAAACCTAATTTTTAAAAATATTTACAAAGGAAATATCATAAACCACTGAGAAATATGGGTTTATCCACATAAGTTGCTAGGGAAAGATGGCAAAGAACATGGGGGGGAAATCAAGTTTGATATTAACTTCACACCAAAATAAGATCTCCACAGATATGTTAAATATAACTAATGAAATCATTTAACACAAAAAGAATATATATAGCAATATTTGGTTGATTCTTACATTGGAAAGGAATTACAAAACTAAAACAGATGGACAAAAAATATCAATACAATGAGTATATCATAATGTAAAACTCCACTAAATACTTGAAGTTTTAAATTAGATATGTTATCTGCAACAAATATATTAAAAAGTTAATGCCCTTAATATAAAAGTAGTCCTTTAAAAGTAAAAGTATTGATGTCCTAATACAAAAAAATGGGTAAATGACCAAATGACATGAACAAACAATTCACAGAATATATTTAACCTTTAAAATAATTGGAAACCATTAAATTAATAGTGATTTGAGAACTATTAAAGTAATAGCAAATTGGAAACCATAAAAATAATATTTTAACTGATGGCAATCATAAAATAAATATGTACTCATTTTTTTTAATTGTTCACAGTATTACAGATGTCTCCCATTTTCCCTCTCTCCACCCAGCCCTTATCTATCCTGTCTCTCCCTCTCCTTCCCCCCAGGTCTTCACCACCCTACTGTTCATGTCCATTGGCTATGCATATAAGTATATCATTTTTAAAAGCCTATCTGGAAAGTAACTTTGCTTTTACCATATACATATGGTAAACCTAAATTCTCCCAAACCTAAAAATATTCCATCTCTTTTACCTAATTATTATATTTCTTGAGTATCTGTAGACAGATATGTGTATGAAATACATAATGTAGAATTATTTATTCAAGAACCTAAATGCCCAACAATAAAAGTTGTTAAATGAATTATAATTCACCCATAAGATAGAATTATGTAGCCATGATGCAATAACTCTTTTGTGAAGATCCTTTTACCTTATATATAAACACACGCAAACACACACTCAAACAGAACTAGAATCCAAAACCCTCCAATCTACGTAACGAAGAAGTTAAAGTTGGAGGAACAGAGTCAACCACTCCCACAGCCCATGAAGTGTTCATCCAGAACTTTTCACCCATAATGCTGTGTTAGGTCAAATCTTCCTCCACAGGTAAGATACTGATCTTAAAGAATAATTAACTAATATTTATGGTATATAAACTAGATTGTCAGTCTTTGATCCACTGACTGGAACTTAAAAATCATCTTTCACTGATTTATTAACTAATTTCAGTGATCTGAATTAGGCTGTTGGTAACTCATAATAATCTTATGTCAAGAGAATAGACAGCCGGCACTGGTTTGGCTCAGTGGAGAGAGCGTCGGCCTGCGGACTGAAAGGTCCCGGGTTCGATTCCGGTCAAGGGCATGTACCTTGGTTGCGGGCACATCCTTGTGGGGGGTGTGCAAGAAGCAGCTGATCGATGATTCTCTCTCATCGATGTTTCTAACTCTCTATCCCTCTCTCTTCCTCTCTGTGAAAAATCAATAAAATATCTTTTAAAAAAAAAAAGAGAGAATAGACAAAAATTCTGGGAGCAATTTTAAGTAAACTAGTTGACTCGACACTAACATGGAAAAGTCAACTACCTTAATATGGTAAGTAATAATTCACACACATGTATGTACACACACACACACACACACACAGTAACCTAAAATATAGCCACATTGTCTTTTATTTCCA